TGTTTTACAAAACAAAGTTGTATTTTTCAGTTACTTAATTTTGACAATTATTCTTGCAAGATTTTTAAAATAGAAGGGGACATTTTATGAAGTTTGAACGGAAGACATGCTAGATAGCATATTTCGTGTAACCCTTATCGAAATACATTGTTTTATTATTGATATATTTAGTTTTTGCACATTGCAGATTCGTTAAACGAAGAAACCATAAGTAGAATGAAAAATTAAAATATTCTGTCTTGCAGTATAATTTTGACTTCACTATTTTAAAAAAAGAATAAATTATACTAATATGAATAGTACAATAACCTGTTACTTTCCTGGCTTTTATGTATACATAACAAGGGAAATCGAAATTGAATCGTGTCTTATTTGACCCTCCGAGATTTTTTGCAAATCTCCACGTTTTGAGACCTCCCGAACCATTTTTTTTTAAAAATGAAACTCATCACTACCCTCGAAATTAAGCTTTTTCCCATTTTATTACAATTAGTAATATAAAACAGTTTTTATAACAAAACCTTATAACAGATGGCATCACACACAATTTGATTTATTTATTATGCATAATAATATAAAAGTTATTTTTTAAATAAAATCTCATAACAGCCGGGAAAGTTACGCAACTTGCTGCTAGATTTTTTAAAATAAAAGTATATTTTGGAATGCAATTAAATTCATAAATATTCTAAATTTTATTAGTAAAGAAACTGTTTTAATAGGTTTGTTTTGGTAAGATGCTGAAACGCAACAACATGGGCGGCTTCCAAAGGAATGCCTTTCTATAAGAAAACTTAGTTGTTAGTTATGTGGATAAAATCCGGAAAACTTCACGTAGCCAGCACGTTGGTCAGACACGAACTCGCGACCAGTGTTCAATGGTTGTATCTACTCAACCACTGATAGGCATCTGGAATCGAATCCAAGCGAATACCTTCAGGAAAATTTTGAATGGTCTATCCAGGATACGTCGGACTCCATCTCTCTTCCCCATTATTTGATATGAATATTTGTTTTTCTTTTATTAAATAATAAGTTGCAATTTTTATAATATCCTTTTCTTGTGAATTAGTTTCAACAGGAACATTCCTTTGTCTCCAAGCAAAAAACTTCCGTAATAAAAAATTAACAAACTTACAGCAAGTGATGTCATTTTTAATTGATCGACAGAACGTCTTAAAACTAATATTAAACAAAAAAGACACATGGTTAAGCAAATTATTAGAATAGAACAGAAAAGATTAATTAGCGGATAGAAAAATTAAACATATAAAACTGACTCAAAATATGTTTTAAAAAATTATGTAGGCCATTTAGAATAACGTCACCGGCAATCTCTTACTAACAGTAGAAGTTATAGAATAAACGAACCCCGAGAAAACGTCATATGGGAAATATTTTTAAATATTAATTATCGATCTTCATAAGGGCCGCGAACATTTGAGGTTGCATAATTATGGTAGATTACTAACTAATTATTAGATTTTTGCTAAGAAGGCCATTCCTTTTTTGTATTGTTTAGTAAATTGTAAAGTTTCTATAACGCATTGATTACGTTACACATACTTATGACATGATGAAATTATTGTGTGCATCT